TTTGCTGCGTGGAAAGTGAAAAAAATCTGCACAGCAAACAAGGCTCAGCGTCGCAGCGTCTTGCGCATGACTCATGACACAGTCACAGGTTTCTTTGCACTTTGCAACAAGGCGTGGCATGCATTGTCTTTCAATGCAGCGAACAATGCGAGAACTCAAGCCTGACAGGTTTTGCTTAGCATGCTGTCAGGACCTGCACGCAAGCACCTCGAGATTTTGCCGCTGCAGGCAAGCATCAGACACAGCTCTCAAAGGTGGATTTGTCCTACTGCTCGGCCCTTGCAACGCCATGCGCCATGCGTTGCATGCAGCAGCAGCGGAAAGCATGAAAATTGCAAAAGGATGCTGCACAAGAAAATGCGATTGACACGCAGTCACGGCACTGACTCACTCCTCTCCAGCTTCAGGTTTCTGTGGCTGGCACGCCTTGGACGCAGTAGCCTTGGGCACATCTTTGGAAACAAAGGAAAGCTTGGGCTGGATCATCGTGTCAACTTTCTTTCCAGCCTTGCTCGTGGATTTCGGGGTCTCCTTCGTTGGCATCGCTGCCTTGGCCTTGGCTTGCGCCTGCGCAAGCTCCTCGAGTTCTGCCAGAGACGGCAGTTGCGGAGGCATCTTGGCAAGTGGAGGCGGAGAGGAGCCAGAGCCCTCATCATTCTTGTGCTCTGGAGCAGACGTCTCAGGCTTCATGGTGTTGGGAAGCGTGACCGGGGATGCAGCCGGCTCCTTGGGCTCTGGCACATCCTCCATGGACCCCAACAAGGCTGCTGGCACGGGCTCCGTGAAATTCGCGGACTGAGAAGCCGGAGGCTGCTCAGCGTCAGGCGCAGTGGGCACTACTGGCTCCTGCACCGGACGCGGGGCCTCAGAATGCACGGCGTCCGAACCCTTCTCATTCTCCCCGGCAGGCTTCTCTGGCACTACAATCTTGGCGTCCTTGCCCTTGTGCTCCTCGCTGTCCTCAAGAACCTCCGCGACATCAGCTTTTCCACCTGGCACTTGCTGGCACAGCTTGGCTTTGTTCTCCGAGAGGTAGAGAAACAAACCTGGAGGTTTATTGTTTGCATCAATCCAGTCCAAGGCTGCCATGATGTTTTTGCAGATCTGTCGCGGCATGAGATGCAGGCGCAGTCCAAAGCAACATCGCATATTGAGAACCTGCAGCGCTACAGCATAGAATTAATACTTGAAACAGGACAACCCGTATGCATTTCTGTTGAAACTAGGCATTACAGCTTGGCAGTGACAGTGCACATGAACTGAATGTTCAGACGAGCCTTCTCCTGCAGCAACCATCCAGCCGGCACATAGGACAAGGACCCTTTGGTGAGCAGCACATGGCATAGGGCATCTGAGTCAGGGAACATGGACAAGTACGAAGCCAGGCTTGCCGGCTGCACTGTTTGCACAAAGTCCATGACATCTTTGTAGGTGACACGTTCTCCACGCCGGCAACTCTTGATGTACTGCACCACCTTTTCCACGGGAAACATGATACTGTGGCGATGCCCCTGAGTCTGAATCCTGATGGAGGGCAACTGCATGTTGTCGAAACCATATGAAGTCATCTCCTCTCCATAGCCCCAAGTTTGCACGCCCGTCAAGGCTTCTCGCAATGGAGTGCGATCACCTGCAAAAAGCCCACACACCAATGCACAAGCACAGATGCACATCACTGCCATCACTCCTTCCTACAAAGCAGTCAAATGAAGGTCTGGTGGGTGTCACTACAATGTCACAATGTCAAAAAGGATGCACATAACAGAAATACACTGGCAGGTCATGGTCCTTGTCACTACACAGAAAGCCGCATGGACGTAGCGACACACAAAACCATTCCCCTCTTCAAGGCAGTCAAATCAAGCTCTGATGGGTGCCACTACAAACTGTACGTGCCACATGGACTTCTTCCTACAAGCCCTCAGCAGCATTTTTCGCAGGTGGGGGGAGTGGGGGGGGCAGACCTCAGATTGGCTGGTGTGCGTCAACACCATTATTGGGAGCTTGTTTTTTTCAATTGGAATGTGAGGGCACGTACGCGTGCTGGGCTTAGAGAAGCAGTGAGAAGCAGGGGGGGTGGTTGTGGGCGTTGTACGTCTTCAGAACAAGATGCGTGCAACACAAATACATAAGCACCACTGTCACTGCCACTTCACGAAAAGGCATCGGTGCAGCGAGATGAACAAGCACTCTTTCCTCCCAAGCTTCGAGGCCAGCTACGGTGGGTCACAGAAGCACACAGGCACACCACTGTCAGTACACAAACTGCACTACAAGATCTGCTTCACTGCAATGTATATATGAGAACCAAGTACCAAGTCTGTTTGCGCTGGAGGATCATGATTTTCATGGGGACGGCGGGCCTTCGGGAAGAACCTCATTTTCGATGCCAAACTCTTTCATGACGTTGCTTCGAAGGACCTGGGTCATCTTCAGAGGGCTTGCGAAGCGCCTGGAGCCTTGAAGAGCTGCCTGGGATCCCGGAAAGCCCGTGTAAAAGCTCTGGAGGGCAGCGGTCACGGTGCCATCACGAAGCATTGACTGCACTGCAGGGAAGCTTGACGAGGCGTCATCCACCTTGGCAACGAACGGCTGGGTCCAATCCACTGAACCGATCTCCTCGCACCTCAACACATCCATGCACTTCACCTGAAGCTTCACCAGGTCAATCCCAAAGATGTCCCCGACACGCCCTTGTTTTTCGGCAGCCTTGTTCAACTTCTGCTCTTGGGCGTCTCTTTTTTTCTTCTCCTGCTGAAGGCGCTTGACTTCCTTCTGCTCCTCGGCCTGCTTTTGTCTAGCAGCCAAAGAAGCACGTTCTTTGCCAAACTTGACATACTTGTCCAGGCTGGCTTTGAGTGAGGTTCTCATGATTGCAACGACATTCACGATAGGCTTGAACTCCAACTCAAGTTCCTTCCTGCCCTGCTGGTCACAGATCTTGTCAATCTCTGTGAGCAGCTGCACGACCACATAAGACACAGGGTAGACTGTCTTGAAAATGTCAGGGAGCTCAACCGGCAAGGTGGTGAGATGCTGAGCCAAAGTTTGAGCGTCCTGATCCGCTGCATGTTGCGTGACATTGTTTTTCCCAGGCTTGTAGCTGCCAATCAAGGCCTGAGAGACCGTGAGGCGGTCCTCGATCATCTTCATAGCCTGGAGCTCATGGGTGGGCGTGGCAGTGTCATTAAGTGCACTCATGAATGCAGTGTCCTTCGCAATCGCGTCCGCGTTGTTGATGACACTCTGCAGCATTTGAATCTCCTTGTCCAGGCCTGTAAGAAGCTTGTCCTTCATGGCAAGGCGCTCCAAACCAACATCAAACGTCTTTGCCTTGGGCTTGTTCTCAGGCTTGTCCTCAGTGGGACCACCGGTGTTGTCCTTGAAGGCTGCAGCTGCATCAGGAAGCGGAGTCCGCCTGCCAAAGACGCTGCCAAGCAAGCTCACATTCTCCAGGTGGCCCACACCCAGGCGGGTCATGTCTGCCGGAGCTGCTGCCCTCCCAGCCTCAAGGCCCTCATCCATGAGCATGCCCTGCTCCTCGGAGAACTTCATCCGCTTGTGCTCAAGCAGCTTCTCCTTCTCATAGATCTCCGCGTCCTCGACAATGAGGAAGTCATCCAGCTTGACTGGAATTCGAAGCTTGGAGTCTTGAGGGCCGTTCTGGTCTTTATGCTTAGCCGCCAGCACTTCAGAATCCCACATTTCAAGAGCGCTCTTGCGGTCCATGTTGTTCCGCTCTATCCAGAACTTCACCGCACGTTCACGGTGCATAAAAACGGCCTGCAAAATGTCAAGAGGAACAGTCAGACATGCATGTATCACATGTGGTCCAAAATACAAACTATTGCAAAAGGCTCTCCTATACTAATATACTACGAAAGACCCCAAACAGTCCAAAAGCCCACAGACCCAACATAGGTCTTTTCCAGAAAAACCGGGGGTCAGGTCCACTGTAGACCCAACATAGGCTTTTTCTGGAATAATCGGGGGTTAGGTAGTCTAGTACTCCCTCAAAGCCCAAAAGACTAGCCACTGCCCACATGAAAGGAGATCAAGGAGGCCCAGCAAAATCTACCCACAAATGAACTTAGAACTTAGAATCCCAGCAGTGCACTGTTTAGCCACCCGCGCTTTGAAGCCGAGGCGGAAAGCCGTTTGCACACGCCGAGCTTCGCGGTAAGACACAAAATCAAATCGCGCCCGATTTGAATATTTACGCCTCTCCCCGCTGTTGCTCACAAAGGTGTGCATGAAGTCGACGAGCTCCTCTCCACCTTTTTTGAGAAGCTCAGCCATCCATTTGCCCTCTCCACGAGCCTCCGCCTCCCTCCTGGCGGCTTGGATGTCGCTTTTGCACACCTTGCAATGCTTGCTCTTGTCTGCACGGGTGCGCTTCATGCACAGCACGCAGTAGAGGGTCACTGCCCCTAGAACCCCATCCACTGGATTCTGAGCCGTCTGAGCCTTTGCAGGACTACTAGACTGCTCATCCGCAGACTCGCCAACACTGCCACTGCCATGAAGTGGGGAAGCACTTGCCTGCGACCGCTGCCCTTGCAGTGCGTCAAGCTCAGACAGCGTCCCATCGCCTGCCACATCAGGCGGCTCAATCTTGACAACCGGCTTGATGGGTCCATCTGACCCAGCCTCCAAGCCCATGTCAGCATCATCTGGCATGGAAAACATGGCTGCACACTCACCAAAGAAGTCAGACGTGCTCCACGCTCAGCACAAGTCACACGCACTTTGGCAGCTGCAAGCGGCACACACAGGCGGACATGAGACATGTTTGTGATTGCAAGCCTGTTCCTTAACCTTGGCACTGACAATTAGTTAGTGAGCTCACGCTGCCTTTCCGGCCTGCACCGTGCTGCATAGACTCCGTTCGGCTCGTAGTCGGGAAACGATTGCATCCGCTGCGCTCACATTCTCAGTCTCTTCATCAGAAATAATATTCTCTGCAACCTCGAGGAGGTTCGCGCGACTGCTCAGTCGGGCTACAGAGAAGGGCCGAGCACTTTCAGAGGGCAATGATTCACACGAGGCCGGTCTCTTCTTCATTGCTGCTCACCAGGCGCAAGACCATGTAAATGTATGAGAGATGACACAATTTTGCAATGGTATAGAAACCACACACACACACACATACACGCTGAAGCGCAACCACCCTGCATCGTGCATCGTAGGCAACATTGGAACTGGAATCCAGCAGTTTGCTACATGCCCTGTGTCATATTCACGGATGTGGCACCTACGCATATACTACACATAATGTTTTGAATAACACCGTAACATCATAGAAGATAAGATAGAACTACATATACATCATCACGAGAAAGGTGTACCTTGATTGGGGGCAGCGCGGGCATTGATCATTGATCACAACTGCAATTTGACTTGACTGTCTGTAAACAGGAACGCCTTGCATTGCAATGACATGCTGCACTGCACTTTCACAAGACAAGACTGAAACAGTGAACATGCTGGACTGCAACATGAACGCAATATTCCTGACATGATAAACACCGTCATTTTGTTTTACAAATAGGTCGTTAAACAAGCCTCCCTAATTTTCTCGGACCGAGACGGAAAGCAATGACTGCGGGAGCCTGTGCGCCCAGTTAAACTTGTCGGATCTTCCCAGGCGCCCTTCCCCTGTTTCTCAAAAAGTTGGAGACCGTGTCCTTTGGGAGGAACAGAAGAAATGGCTACCGCAACCCCAGCTTCTGCAAACTGCAAAGGTCTGAGATTAGTCAAAGGAAAAGAGGAACAAAGCGTTCAAGACAGCATTTCATGCGCGGAGGCAACAAAAACCAGCCCTGCTCTCAAGTTTTAGCAGCTGAAACGTTGTTTCCACAGAATTTAGCCAGTGCCCTAAGGCCAGGGCTCGAAACATAGGTGAAGTAGTTTCCTAATGAAACTAGTATGCCCGCACGCACGCATGGCTACTGGGGCACTGTCCGGGGCACTGCTCCGTAGCGCGCGGCTTTATGCGGCAGTGCGCGGCAGTGTGCGGATGTGCGCGGATGTGTGCGGATGTGTGCGGAAGTGCGCGGATGTGTGCGCATGTGTGCGCATGTGTGCGCGGACTCCTGTGTGCGCACTTTTTTTGCGCGGAAGTGTGCGCATGTGTGCGGATGTGTGCGCACCCCCCTGTGCGCGCACCCATGTGTGCGGAAGTGTGCGGAAGTGTGCGGGTGTGCGCGGGTGTCGGGGGTGCGCGGGTGTGCCATGGAGCATTTAGGCCTGCGGAGGTGTGCAAAAGTGCCCACGTCATGTTCCCCAAAGTTGTTCCCTGCATTTTTTTGTCGTCACCTGCATTGCTTTGTCCTTTTGCCTGTTTTTTTTTCTTTTTTTGGATTTTTTGGCGAATACAAGGAAATTCTGATCCTGATTGTTTTTTTCTACAATTTCCATTCCCATTTGGTCGGATTTTCAAGCCCCAAAATTCTCTAAGTACTTTTCGCCCTTTCCTCAACCCCCGGGCTCAGGAGCCTGTTGGACCCCTTGCCGACCTTCCCCTCCCTACTCCTCTACCTTCACCTGGCCAACCTGCCTCTGCACCGCTTTCCAAGTCCTAATCAACCTTTGATCCATTCACCTGTTCACCTCCCTCCCTCCCCTGGCTCTGTTGAACAGAAACTTCCAGCCCTGAGCCCAGCCTTTTGCTGTTTGCTTCGATTGTTGCAAGGACACATGTCAGCAGAGCGAACATGCCAGCGCCGCAGACAAAACACATGCACTGCACAAAGGCACAGCTCACACAGCAATCGAATAATTGCCTAGAATCAAGACCCTTCATGTGACAGTCATAGCCTGCAGCAAAGCGCTCAGCACTTGTAAAGTAGAATAGTGTTACAGAATAGCACGATAGTTTAGGTGAGCAGGCTCAGGAACGGCTCAGGTAGAAAATTGACTAGTGACTAAATTCAGACAGAAAAGCAACGGACATGTTGCGTGTTTTGGCTGCTTGGACTGCGCATCACATCACTGAGGCAGCTCAGGCAATTCAATTGCCTCCAACTCCTCATGACTCAGGATTGTCAGCCCACGCCTGTCGTGAGCCTGATGGCCTACCCTATCTGGCTCATTGCCATTGAAATCAAAGTCTGCGGCCCTTACACACCATGATTTGAGATGCAGAATGACTTGATCACGGTCAGCGTCCTCAGTCCAACCTGCTGTCCTTGTACATTTTGTGGCATTACAACTCCGGCTGTGGTAACGGCAGAGCGCCATGTAGGAAGAGCGGCCACTTGCATTGGCCGGCTTGAAGGTGAACCTGAACCCCCGCCATTCGAATGCCCGGAGGGCCGGGGTCTGCCTCAGGGCCTGCTTCACGTGGTCTACGCCTTCTCAGAAGCTCAGGAGGAGGCGCATCATCTAGACCCATGTGGTTGCTGCCAGAGTCTTCTGCTGAGGATGAAGATGATGAGCTACTCTCAGAGTAGCCTGTACTAGAATCACTAAAACCACTGGAGCCTGCAGCGGAAGCTCCACTGGGGCTGTTTGGCCTGGAAGCGGAACCACCACTGACCTCGTGATCGGAGAATACGCCCGCGGCTGGATGATGAACCTGAGGCCCACAGCTTAAAGCCCAGACAGACAGCATGGAACATGTCTGAAGAATAAGGCACGCAGTATATGTTGCAAGGACATGTTGAATCAATGAAGCCCAGTAACCATATCCGCCATGCCCATCGCATCATCTGATTCATGTTGCATGGCCTTGGATGTAGGATAACACAATTGCACCACCACCACCACCAGCACCGCCGCCACCGCCGCCACCGCTGCCGCCACCGCCACCACCGCCACCGCCACCGCCACCACCACCACCACCACCACCAGCAGCACCACGAACACCACCAACAGCAGCAGCAACAGAAGCAGCAGCAGCAGCAGCAGTGCAATACCAACACCAACACCAGCAACAGCAGCAGCAGTAGCAGCAGTAGTAGCAGCACGGCAACTGCAACAACAACAACAACAACAACAGGAACAGCAACAGGAACAGCAACATGTCTTTGAGAGCCCAGAAGCCATATCCGTCTCGTCCATCGAACCATGTGATCCACGCTGCATGGCCTCAGATTTTGGATATTACAACAACCACAAGAAGAGCAACTAGGAGAACAACAAGAAACACAGGCAGCTGTCAGTGTCGAGGAGCCTCCTTGCCAAGTTCAGGCTCAGCATCCAACAGGGAAGCTTCCAAGGCAGCCAGGAACGATTCGCCACCAGAACTCTGCACATCATCATCTTCATGTCTTCTCTGGGATTCCTGAAAAGATGCATCACCTTCGGGGGCACGGGCAGAGTTTGGTTCATACGGTTGGTCTTGTCGAGATTCAAAATCATCCGTCAAGTCTTGCACCTGGCGAAACATGTCAGGCTGTGTCTGCTCTGAATCTTCCAAAGCCAGCTGTTGCTGTTTCTTGGTTTTCAAGCCCAGCAACTGACAATAATAGGAATCAGTCTCAAAGTGCTTTAGTTTGAGCGGCTCGCCACGCAAGGACTTCGCAGAATGCACAAAGGACAAACACGTCAAATAGCGGTGGCTGAGAGCTCCACGGTATATGTAGATTTTATTGTCATCGAAGACCCGACACGTCAGATCAAGTGGCACCACCTCCCTCTTTTCAGCAGGGGTTTGAAGAAATTGCCACTCCCAGCCTGCATTCTGCAGATAACAAAGCACCTCCATGCGTGACCAGGTCAAAGCAGGCTGGCCCTCAGGCACTGCAAAGAATGGCCTAGGGCTTTTCAGGTCCAACTGCAAATTGCATTGAGAAAGAGCGCGCATGTTCAACAGCCATGAACTTCTGCCATCATGCATGGAATAAGGAGTGGCAAACTCAACATCCATAAGACGCTCCAAAACCTCTAGTTTCTCGTGGGCACCAGCTTCATCGTGGAAAATATGGTAAGGGTTCTCATACACGCTGCCCTGAATAGCACCCATGCGAGACATGTCGGCAAGGAGATTTCCAGCAACCATCTCCAAATGGGAAGGCATGCCCAGCAAGAATTTGGGCATATACTTGGCATTGACCTTATTCCTGGTCCAAGAAACAACCGCATCTTGCACCTGTGATGGGCTTTGCACCTTTGGAGGGTCAAAAAGACATATGCGAGCTGGCCCAGCATTGTTCTCAGATGGCAACAGACTGACAGAGGCAGAGTTTCTATCCATACTGCTGCATGAGTGCACCACAACTGCCACATCAAAGTGGCCCAACTGCTTCAGAAACGGATCTGCGGCTCGCACGCGAGCCTGGGATGAGATCCTGGTTTTGACCACCTGCAGAATGAAGAACATGTCCACGCACAAACCCTGACCCAACACTTCCTGCGGCAGCAACTAAAAAGAACTTGAAGCAATGGATTCTGTCTCTACAAGCAACTGATGCACTGCGGCGCGCCTGCACAAATTGACGTGGTTGGTCGTCGTCGCTTTGGGCTGCAGGCTGCTGGGCTTGCGCAAGGTCACCATCAGGCACAAGGGGTTCTACTTTGTCGGGGCTCCCAAAAAGCGTGCTTGGGGAGGCCTCTGAGACTGGTTGCGGAACTGCAGCAGCTGGCTCATCTTTACGAACATCCCCACCTGGAATAAGCGAATCCTTCAGGTAGCGAGGCTCTGGCAAAGGGCCTTGAATGCAATATATCTCACCTTCTTGGCACCT